TTAATTATTTACCTCTTCATTTTTAATAATTAAAATTTTATCATATTTATTAAAAATAATTATTTTTTTATCTAAAAAATCATAATAAATTTTAATAATTAAAAATATAAAAATAAATAATAAATTTTATATAAATATAACATATAAAATTTATATATAAATAAATTCTTAATTCAATAACAATCTTCTTTAAAAAAAAATTAATTTATGTGGAAAGGATACGAGAGCCGCGAGAAATAGGTGAAAAAATCTTTCTAGCTTAAATATCACGAGCGCAATGTCACAAAACTCAACGGGTCAAAGGGCAAGTTTAGTAAATTAGCCACAAAAATGAGGGCAATATATAAATAAAAGCATTAAAATATCCGAGTTCTCACCGTTCGGTTCACGGACCCCACGACCCATTCTCCATGTCTTCCGTCCCGACGCATTGCACGTGACCTGACTAATCCAACAATTTCCGACTTTTTTGTTATGTGGTCAAATAACATCCCGCCACGCGTCCTCCAATCACGATAAATCGCCAAATCGCCGACGGAGTTTCGCTCCCGATTTCAATTATAATTTTGTTTGTTTCCACTCTCTAAAGCACTGAGAGCTGCACAATTCCTCGGAAAATTAGTAACTTCGGATCGATTCTTCTTCAGAATCTGTTTTCGTATATTCTTTTTAATTTTTATCTTCTCAAGGGTAATTTTCAGCTACTGAAATCTGTTTCTGTTTGTTTCTCGAGAATTTGATCGAATTCTAAACATTTTCCTTTTCTATCATCTTAATTTGAATTTTCGGTTCTCTTGTTTTAGGAACATGATACTTTTATCATGTTTAGGTGTTGAATTCTTTCTTTTTTTCTAGCTTGATGTAATTTCTATTGATTTTCTCGGCAAGCAAATGGTTTTCTGTATTTTTCTATAATTTTCTCGGTAACCAAACGGTTTTTCTGAAATTTCTGTCGATTTTCTCGGTAACCAAACGCGAACTCATAGTTATAGTACAGAAGAAAGTAAATTGATAATTATGCATTCTAATCCTTTTTGTTTTACCATTTTTGGTTAAAAATTATAATAGAATTGTTTCTACCTTTTGTTTTGTACTGTTAGTTACTGTGTATTTCTTCAGAGCCAAGAACTGAATTTTTTTTTTTTCTTTTAGTTACTGTGTATTTCTTCAGAGCCAAGAACCGAATCAAAGAATATGAGCAATACCATCGGTAATAACTTGGTACACCAGCGGTTGCTTCGTCCTACAGTTTTAGAGCGTCAAAGCAAGCTGAATTCTTCCGGCATTGCTGCAAACTCTTTCTGTGCTGCGTCTCTGAATCAATCTGCAGCTCAAATAGGGAGGAACTCCAAATTATCTACAAAATTTTATGGTAACGGTTGGAATAAGAAGAGATCATACTCTACAGTTGGAACGGGACGACCTGCGTTTGTTCCTCAAGCTGTTTTAGCCACTGATCCAGCTTCTGAGGTAAACCTTATACATTTTTCTATTACCATCAGCTTGTGTTAGGGAAACTTAGCTCTTGGAAGTTGGGAATGTTTGTTTAGATGTGTTTGGATTGGTTTGGCAACTAAAATTTTTATAAACTCTTTTCTTTACAGCAACTTATGGAGAAATTCAACCTTGATGGGAATATTGAATTGAAGGTATGCACTGCTTCATTACTGAGTACTTTTAGCTGACTTAAGAGATATGTGGTGAGGAGGTTCTGTTGGGTTGAGATAAATTTGGTTTTCATTGTGCATAATATGAATTGTACTAGTGGTAAAATATTGTATTATGTTGATGTATGATTTACCTATACTACTGAACAGGTCGGTGCTAGTACTGTTCCAGCATCTATTGTACAAGTTGATATTCAAATTACATATAGTAGTGACTCTCTGCTTCTACATTGGGGTGGGATACGTGATAGAAAGGAGTAAGTGAACGTTTAATGGTTTTCTATGTCACTGTCAAGTTTTGTGGTAATTTTAAGTAATAATATAAGGCTCTCGTTCTCACAGTTTGAAGTTTCTGATATTATCATTTTCTTTTTAACAGAAAGTGGGTACTTCCTTCTTGCCAACCTGATGGAACCATCAATTACAAGAACAGAGCGCTTAGAACACCATTTGTGAAGGTTAGCACCCAAAAGTGACAATAAACTTGCTTCTGACTGATTGTTAAAGTTGTCAGTTGTTCATTTTTTTATCTCCTACACATTGCATTTGTGTAGACTGGTCCCAGTTCCCATCTTAAATTAGAGATCAACGATCCTGCAATAAAAGCGATAGAGTTTCTCATATTTGATCAAGCCAAAAATAAATGGTGAGCCTCCATTAATTCTGTTTTAGTTTTGTTCATTGCTTTAATATAGGCTATTTAAATGAAGTTGCTTTTCCTTTGTTCATTTATTTTCATTTTGCAGGTTTAAAAATAATGGTCAAAACTTTCATGTAAAGTTACCTGCAAGATGTCAGCCAATTTCCAACATCTCAGTTCCTGAAGATCTTGTTCAGATTCAAGCATATTTGAGGTGGGAGAGAAAGGGTAAACTGATGTATACTCCAGAACAAGAGAAGGCAAGTAATAAATTTGAACATGATATAATTTACCAGTTTATATTGTTGAATCCCATGTTCCTAGCTTTGGCCTTTAGCATCATTGTCGCCCATTTGAGGTTGGAAGCTTACTTGACAAGGGTCCTGCAATGTTTAGGGATTACGTCCCATTAAATTTTCCATAGAAGAATGTTTAACCCTTATCAATAGATTCCAATTATTATAATTTATTATATGTATTTTTGATCTCCTTCTCTATTTTTGTTGTATAAATTAACTGTTTACACTACTTTTCATAAAATTTCATGAGTTTAAAGGCCTATATGATGTACTTTAACCAGATATTATTTAGGGATTATTGGTGCAATTTATTATATAACGCTTGATCAAATTTTAAAGTATGCCAATATGAAACCTATTGGCTATTATAGATTCCTTAATAATTTAAAAGATGGTATCTGATTGTCATGTTCAAAAATCCAGCAGCTTTCTATTCATTGTTGTCTTCTCATTGTGTTCCTCCACATACCATTCTGAGAATCTAAAGAGCAAAGCTGGTTTTTCATTCAATGTTGGAGAAATATGAACTATGGGTTGCTGTTTAACCTCTATGAAACTTGAGATAGTGAACCTGAAATGTTCTGACTTCCAATTTTTCATCTGTGTGAGTTTTTAGTTAGATTGAATATTTCTCCCTTTTTATAGGAGGAATATGAGGCAGCTCGCACTGAGCTGTTGGAGGAAATAGCAAGGGGGGCTTCTATAGAGGATCTTCGAGCAAAATTGACTAAGAAAACTGATAGACAAGAAATCGAGGAAACTTCTATCTATGAAAGGAAGAGCAAGATACCGGATGATCTTGTGCAAATTCAAGCTTATATACGATGGGAGAAAGCAGGAAAGCCTAATTTTTCTCGAGAAGAACAACTTGTAACTTTCTAGTCTCTTTCTAATTGGTTTTTGTAAGTCCTTTTTTGTTTCAAAGTACTCAAAGAGATAAAAAAAAAATTCAGAGTAGGTGAGTGCTGTTGTACAATTTGATAAGGTTAATAATATTTTCAGTTAAAGCATGGATTAAAAATTGAGTGGATGATTTTTTAATAACTAGATGGAATTTGAGGAAGCAAGAACGGAGTTGGAAGCTGAGCTACAGAAAGGTGTTTCTCTTGATGAAATACGAAAGAAGATTACCAAGGGAGAGATTGCAACAAAGGTTTCAACACAACTCAAGGAAAAGAAATATTTTAGAGTTGAAAGGATTCAGCGCAAGAAGAGGGACTTGATGCAACTTCTCAATAAGCATGCAGTTAAATCTACAGTGGAAAAAATTTCTAGAGAACCACATAGCTTGACAGTGATTGAGCTTTTTGCTAAGGCCAAAGAAGAAGAGGATCTCAGTCCTGTTCTTAACAAGAAATTATACAAACTTGCTGATAAGGAAGTTCTGGTGAGATAAGTAGAGTTTCTGCCCCCCTTCTTTTCATCACCAAGGATTCTCACTAGAAAAGTCATTAAATGTTCTAATTCCTTTTGTACATTCCAGGTACTGGTAACCAAACCTGCTGGTAAGACAAAGATTCATGTGGCTACAGATTTTGAAGAGCCAGTCACTCTTCACTGGGCTCTGTCTAAAACGGCTGGAGAGTGGTTGGTAAGATTCTGCAATCAGTAGAAGTCCTAAGGAAGACATACGAGAGTGGAATTTATGTCATGTTGCCCTCTTGATATTGATATCTTGCTACTTTACGTGGACATTTTGCAGGCACCACCTTCAGGTCTGCTTCCTCCTGGTTCAGTTTTGCTAAATGGTGCTGCGGAAACACAGTTTTCCATTAGTTCTTCTTCTAGTCTTCCTAAACAGGTTCGTCAACTAAAAGTTGATTTTACCTATGTCCTCTAAGAACAAGGTCCCATCATACCCCCAAAGTTAAAATTATTGAGGTTTAACTTACGCCAAAGTATCCTAAACAGTCTTCATATAAGAATTCGATTTACAGGTGCAATACTTTGTTCTGGAGATTGACGGGGACAGTTATACTGGGATGCCATTTGTTCTTCTGTCTGGTGGGAAATGGATAAAGAATAATGGATCTGACTTTTATGTGGAGTTTAGTCCACGATCCAAGCCAACCCAAAAGGTTGTTCGCTTCCTGTTTTATATTTGAAGCATGATTCTTCTTTTTGGTCTTTTTACTTGTGTTGCTTATCTATTTTCAGCTTGCATCACCTTAATGTATAACTAACTCTGGTTTCTTTAATAAAGGATGCTGGTGATGGCAAAGGTACAGCAAAGGCTTTGCTGGATAAAATAGCAGAGATGGAGAGTGAGGCACAGAAGTCCTTTATGCACCGGTGAGTAAACTTGGACTTGCATTACCCTGAGCCTATTGACTTGTTTCTGGTGCATTTCCTTATCAACTGCATTTGACTTTATGATTTCATTTTATCCCGGAGTATTGCATGTTATGGTTTCTTACTTCTATAGCATGTCTTCTTGATACCACTTTCTAGTTAGTTTTTCAAGGGCTTTAAGGAAGCTTCCCTGAAAGGTTGTCTTGCTGTTTAGACCTCTTGCCTTCCCTGAGTTCTTCAGTCAGTGTCCATATGGTTTGCGTGTTATCAATAAAGCTACTTACTGCAATTCAACTTAAAACAACTCAGATTCTTCCTTCTGGATTCTGACTGTTTCTTGTTTATATATCTTGCCTTGGAATGAAACATTGTTACCATTTATATGATTTGGATTATAATGGTATTTGCAAAGTCAAAGACATGCAGTACACCATAATGTCCTGGTCAACTGCTTCCTGCTGTTTGTAAGATGGATGTTGCTAGGAAGTCTGCATTTTCTGTAATGTTTAATTTTCTCAATTTCTAAAACAATTTTATTCAAATACAATTAAGTCAACAGGAGACAAACATGTATAGGTAGCCTAAGACATTTATAGAACATTGTTCAAAAACTGTTTATAATGAAATTGTTTTTGAGAAGGTTAATTAAAGTGTACTATTGTTCTTTGCCAATCAAAAGAAAAAAAAAAAGCACTATTGAAGAAAAAATGGAATTATGGATGAAAAGATCATTTTTATTGCAACTCTTATCAAATATTCTAAAAATCCCTGAAAACCTAATCTTAATTCATTGCCAATGAACCTCATTAGCAATGCAAGCCACTGGAACTACCATGGAAAAGTATATTTCCTTCCCAGTTGCACAACAAATGAACATTATCATGATGCCTTCTAATTAGAGATGCATGAAACTTCCTTATCTCTCTTGTTTGGCTCCTTTATCCTTTGATGGTGGTTCGATGCTTGGGTGGACGTCTAAATTTCACTCTGGTTGACTACTAGGTTAAGCTCCATCACTTAATCTGAATTTGGACACTTTAATTTTTAATCTTCTGTGCTTCTAAAATTTGTTTGGTTTCTTAATGTTCTTCAACTGATAAGTCCTAATCTTTCCCTGTTTGTTAAGGTTTAATATTGCGGCAGACTTGATAGATCAAGCCAAAGCTGCTGGTGAATTAGGCTTTGCAGGGATCTTAGTGTGGATGAGGTTTATGGCTACTAGGCAGCTCATATGGAATAAGAACTACAATGTAAAACCACGGTATGATATTATTTTTGGGCAATTGATAGGGAGATTAATTGACTTTTAAACATTAGTGGCTAATTTTGTGTAGATTTTTCTAGGTGATAAATTCATATGTGTGTCTTATCCTTACTCTTTTTGTCTTCCTTTTTTTGGGGGGGGTGGGGTGGGGGTTGTGGTTGTGCAGTGAAATAAGTAGAGCTCAGGATAGGCTTACTGACTTGCTCCAGAATACTTACAAAAATCATCCAGAATACCGGGAGCTGGTACGGATGATTATGTCTACTGTTGGACGTGGGGGTGAGGGTGATGTGGGACAAAGGATTCGGGATGAAATTTTGGTCATCCAGGTTGATATTGAACTGCATGCTACCTTTTTTTTTCAAGGTTGTCATAAATATATGTGCTTATCCTATTATTTTATTCATTTATTTATTTCAGAGAAACAATCATTGCAAAGGTGGAATGATGGAGGAATGGCATCAGAAGTTACATAATAACACTAGTCCAGATGATGTTGTAATCTGTCAGGTATTGCAGATGTAAATTTTGCATGATTCTTTGCAAGTTGACACCCAAAAAAAAAAAAAACAGAAAGGCGCTAATGTCTTTGAAAAATGTGGTTGCAGGCATTGATTGATTATATTAAAAGTGATTTTGACATCAATGTCTATTGGAAGACTTTGAATGAGAATGGAATAACGAAAGAACGCCTTTTAAGTTATGACCGTGCCATCCACTCCGAACCAAATTTCGGGAGAGATCAGAAGGATGGTCTTTTGCGTGATCTTGGACACTATATGAGAACCTTGAAGGTTTGGTCCTTAAAATTTTATGGTCCTACATTCCCAAAACATTCACCACATTGTCATCAGCACTTTAATATGCATTAAGGTGTGATGGCGGGTTTGAATTCACGTTTCAGTTCTCTCAAAAAGCATTCTTAATAAGCTCTCAGAGCATCACTGATATGTGTTAGTTGTGTTAGCCCTATTTTTGTGATATCTGAGAAGACAGACTTGTTGGAGATTCCAGCTTTTCCTTTGATGCATCAATTTAGATACACAAGTGCTCCCTTCTGATGTTAAAATTAATTTAATTACTGCTTTTTGGGCTCCTAAATTATGTTGTGTCATATGACTAATTTCATCCTGGTTGTAATTATTTGTAGGCGGTTCATTCAGGTGCAGATCTTGAGTCTGCTATTTCAAATTGCATGGGCTATAGAGCTGAGGTACCCCAAGAAAGGGACTGAAATTTCCCAGAGATGCCTTTTTTCAGGCTTTGACAAGGCTCCTTTTTTTTTTTTTTTTCCTCTTTCGGTTTAGGGTCAAGGTTTCATGGTTGGTGTGCAAATAAATCCTATATCGGGCTTGCCTTCAGAATTTCCAGTAAAATTTTCAACTTTATTTCAGTTTCCACTTAAATATGCTCTCTATGACAGTAAAAATGAACATATGTTGATCTTGTTTTTCATAACAGGAATTGCTCCACTTTGTCCTTCAACATGTTGAAGATAGAAATGTAGAAGCCTTGCTTGAGGTGTGTGAAAGTTTTTGTGGGAAAAATCTAATGTAGATGTTTCCTTTCATATTCTAACAAAAATATACTTGTCTTTTTCTTCCCTTACTAGGGTTTACTAGAGGCTCGTGAGGAGCTTAGGCCAATGTTGATGAAGTCTAACGATCGTTTGAAGGATCTTTTATTTTTGGATATTGCTCTTGATTCTACTGTTAGGACAGCTATTGAAAGCGGATATGAGCAATTAAATGATTCTGGACCAGAGGTAAATCCAGTTGTTTGCATGGTGGCTCCAATTTGTTATATGTTATCTCTAGTTTCTATCTCTGTACATTCCTCGACTGATATACATCGATGTTCTGTAGATATACTGGATTACTTTGGTTTCATGCTCCATTATGTTTTGAATTAAAACCTGATCTGCCTTCTCATGCATCTTGCAGAAAATTATGTACTTCATTACCCTGGTTCTTGAAAACCTTGCACTTTCATCAGATAATAATGAGGATCTGGTCTACTGCTTGAAGGTAAGATATTTGCTCTTTAGAAGTGACAGAAGTTTATGCCAGTTTTCTTATTCTTCTCTTTT